GTAAAATCACGAAGGGTGATGTTGTACAATTGGTTGATTTTATTGCTTGACTTAAAAATTGAGATATGAACTTGACTTGATGGTTTTGGTGTTTATTTTGAAAGAGGTTTACTGGATGACTTTTGCTTATTGATTTTGCTTATTGTCCTTTTCTACATGTCCCTACCCTATTGTTACTTTTGATGCTTTATTTGCCATCTTGTTACTTTATGTATATAACTCCACAGGTATTAGTAGGTGTCTTGTCTTAGACTAGTCACTACCTCGTCGGAGTTAGGCTCGACACTTACCGAGTAAACTGAGTCGGTTGTACTCATACTACACATCTGCGTTTCTTGTGTAAATCCCAATGTTTGTCCTAGAGGCGCATAGAGGAGATTGGCCGGATCAGATCTATCTAGGAGACTTGAGGTATAGCTGCACGACATTTGCAGTCCCTAAAGTCCCATTCCTTATCTTGTTCTACTTTTACCTTGTTTCGAACAGTTGTATTTCATTTCAGACTATCTTTGTAGTATTCTAGTCGCTCATATACTTGTGACTCCGAATTTCTGGGATTAGTATAAACCACATTACTTATGGATTTATTTCATGTATTTTAGAGGATTTCAGCCTTTAACTATTATTATTATTATTCTGCTTTTAAATTGGTAAAATTGGTTAATTTTTTAGCTAACGTTGGCTTGCCTAGCCAGTGTATATTAGCGCCATCACGGTCCCGTAGTTGGAATTTCGGGTCATGACAATATGATATGGGCTTTTTCATTTGATTGTTACTTAAACAGCAAATGCTAATGCCGGAATGAACAGGATACGCCCTCTTCAAGAGCAGCGTAAATATAAGGGCCCTCTCTTATGAAACCCTCATAGTTAAAGGGTAAAAATCATAAGTATGAATGCCCGGTATTAAAGTTGTCGGATTAAAAAACATTCTGACCTTTATCAAAGGAATATGATGTCTTTGCACAGAAGTTATGCAAAAAGATGTCTTTTATTTCACAAAATGCCGACTCAATAAAGGTTTCAGGATAATTACAAACAAGAAAACAATACATTAATTTGCTTTGTTAGGAGAATCTAGAGGACGAGAAGTCTCTGCTACATCCTTTGAAGATGTAAGTTGTTCAGCATACGGTCCAGCACCTTCATCCTTGTCCTTATCTTTTTCTTCTTCTTCTTCTTCAGCTTCCTCCTTGGTTTTCGAGGACTTAGAACAAGTGCTCGAAGAGATTGAATCAGTGGGCCAGGTTGGAATGTTTTCGAGGTAGGTTGTCTCTAAATTGAGAGCTTCAGCAATACAATCATCTATGTTTGAGATGCCTTCTATGGAATCCTCCAAAGTCTTCCTCCTCATGTGATAAATTCCATGAGTTTTCTCAAGAAGGAAAGAATCATCTTGGTCCTGGAGTTTGGCTTTGAGCTTTTTGATTTTGGACTGCAGCCGATCATTATCAATCTTCAATATATCATAGGTCCGGCAAAGGTGAGTATTGGTCTTCGCATTTTCGCGATTTTTCTCCATGACCCTTTTGAGCCTTTACTCCATTCTTGCCCTCTTCTCCTCGGCTGCAACAACTTCCTCAGTTTTGGAATGTAAGTTTGCTTCTAGGTTTTTGATTTTTTCCATGTAAGCAGACTCGCGTTCAGCTGGCAAAGTCACAGTATCTTGCAGCTCAATGCACTTTATCTTCGACTCGGAAAGCTCAACATTCAACTTACTGGCCTATTTGTTATGAACCATTTCTTGACCAGTTTGCTCCAACCGAGCTTTAAGCTCGCCCATTTAAGCAATCCTTGCCTCTAAAGCCGAGAGGCGCTCAGCAAGTTGGTCCTATTTGGAAATAATTTGATCCCGCTCGGCAGCAAGTTCATCTTTGGCTAGGATCATCTTTTCTAAGACCTCGAAGGCGAGAATATTATCATGTAAAATCGACAATTAAAGTTTTTGAAGATAATGATTATCAAATGATTAGGGAAAAGAGAAGAATATGTTGATATCTGGGCAGCAAAGTGCATGTGATTATTGATAAGATATTTCATAGAGAGAGCATCCATCTTTCTCTAGTCCTTGTTTGAAGCCAAAGGCTTCAAGTACTTAGCAATCCCCACAGGCTTGGAAAGTAAGTGGCACTTATTCAAAACCAAAAAGGTAATATTGCGTTTACCATTAGGGTTTCGGATGAGTGCCGTAAAAGTGCTTTCAATGTTCCCATGAGGGGAACATACATCTTCCACTTGTTCAATTGGGACCTGTGGTGATGCAGAAGCTGGTAGTGCGGAAACTGGTGTTGATGTTTGAGGTGGAGGAATATTAGAAGTGGAACCCCTCTAACCAGAAGCAATAACTGGGCATGAAAACGGGATTCAGCATTTTCAACCATTTCTGACTCTGTAAAGAGTCCTTCAATACCATATGGTTGAGCATCCAGTTGAGCTGGGGAAGTTCCTCCTTTTTTCTTCTATGAAGAGAAACCGCTTCATCATTATCCTCGGTTCCCTCTTCGTCAAGGACCACTACTGTCGGTCCTATTGGGGTTTCTTCTATTGGAGGCTTCTCTTGAGTCTCAGCCTTGGATGTACGTCTTCTTTTTGATTTTTTTCCCTTGGGCTGGGGACTCAGGGAAGATAGGCCTTCACCGGAAGCAAGAGCGACATCACGAGCCCTCTTCCGGTCAAGGGCTGCTTGAATTTGTTGCTCAGCCATCTTCGGGTCATGAGAAACCTCGACGGTGGGACAGACAAAAGACCCCTTCGGAAGGCCTACATGTTATGAAAAGAAGTCAAAAACTTTATACTGCATAAAGTTGAAGATTAAAAAGAAAAAAGGGAAGTTTTACTTACCATGGTTCTTGGCCTTCCAGTTGAATATGTGTGAAATTTCCTTCCACTTATGGGAGTCCGATGTGAAAACGTCTCAAAAATTTTGAACCCATTAGGTTAAGTTTGAAACTGCTGGAGAAGCCCAATGGGTAGTTGAACTAAGAGAAGGAAAAATTAGCAAAAAGGGGAATTTTCTTCAACGCTGTAAAATAGGGATATTCGAAAAACTTACGAGTGTAGTTCCAAGATTTGGCGATAGGAGGTTCTAACACCGGTAGAATGTACCGAGCAATAATGACAGCGAACCTCTCCATGCAAACAATCTCATCAACACCGGTGACGATGGCATGGTGGCAGCGTTTGCTGAGTTTGACCATGCCTCTACGAAAAATCATTGGGGCGTAGAGGTTGATCAAACGAGCAAGAGTTAGGGTTTCGCCGGTTCGGGTACACAAAAACCAAAGGCAAGCTACCGTTCGCCATATTGATGAACCTACTTGAGCTAAGCAAACTTGGCAATTTTGGCAAAATTCTAAAATGATGGGATCGATTTCCCGACCCATTCTTAAAGTGAAAGGGTACGTGTAAATGTACATGTACCCTGGTTTACTGAAAGTAATCCTTTACACTTCATTAGGGGCTAAAACCTCAATGTTGTTCCAGCCACAATCTTCTTTTATAACGGGAATACTAGCATGACGAATGGAAAAAAGGATACCTACTAACATCTCTATTTCTGTCGTTTTTAGGGTTAGGGGGTTCCTGCTGAACTTGGAGATTCGTCTCACAATTTTGTTGAGTAAATGTGTTAAGAAGGGAAGAAGTTTATAGGCGTCAGAATGCAAGGCCATCATTACCTAGGTAACTGGCGAAAGTATTTGTCGAATCATGGAATAACACATGTTCGGCTCACTAAATGCAAGGAGGCATGCGCCCTTTCAAGTGTCAAAATCGTTCAGAAATTTTCTCGCCAAGAAAAGGAGTCTTATCTACTTCACGGTAACATAAAGTTTATTAATTACTAGAAAGTAAGGGGACTATCTGTATGGGGTAAAATTGATAAATGACAGGTGGATGTTCATCGAGTTGACACGTGGTAGTAAAGACATGTAGGATATGAGTCAGCAAATAGCTGGCACCGGTTACAATCATGTGACCGGTGTTGTGTGGGTTCCGAAGACACTAGTACCGCGAACGCAAGTTTGAAAGGAAGATATCGATTGAAGAAGGTAGCATTCAAGGAGCGCCCGTTACAAAGAATCTTTGCATTTATACTCAGCCGTTATGCACCTATCAAGAGGGGTCTTTACTCATATTAAAGAAGAGCTTGAGATGGGAATCTTGTCTCCATGAATTTAGCTATAAATATAGTAATTTGCACTTATTGTAAGCATGAAATACTTGTATGCCAAAAAGGCTAAACTTACTCTTGTTTTATTAACATTATTTCTGCTTTATACTCTGTTCTTGCTCTTGCTTCCGGAAAAGCTCATTTCACAACCAGACTTGTATTTTGTTCAAGTTTCCTTAATTAATTTATTTATGTTCTTATTTATTTTTTATTCTTGGATCAAATTAATTTATGTATCTATAAACCACGTTACAAATTCAACTGTACCGTTTTACGGGTAAGCAACCATTGTTTGTCATTTCTAAAAATAATTACACCATCAATTCTTATAAATTAAATAAAACCCTTCTTAAACGAACATTAAAAAGGACATTCCTTTAACCAGTGTCAAAACTACTCTTCCATCTCCGGCTGAATAGATGGGTAATCACATGGGGATTAACACTAACGATATATGTAATCCCTGAAAATATTATGCCTCACGTGGCCATCATAAAATGGATTTGAAGGAATAAATGTGACCCACAAAAATAAAACACAATAATTGAATATGCTTTATTATACTGTGAATATGGAAGGGGAAAAAGTCAACGTTATCATCCATGAACTATCTACTACTCCGTATCGTATATATAATCCCCCAATCCTTTCTTGAATATGCTTTTATAATATGAATATCTTCCAGGTAAACAGAAAAGGAAGTGAGATCATGCAATTAAATTAATATTTTTCTTTTCGAAATGATGGAACTATTGCTCATGCACCTAATTTGTACAGTAAACTTAAACATATTAATCCTTTTCAATACTCATTTTCAACAATATAAAGGTAGTAGCGAAAGATAACATGTATAAAAAAATGCAAAAAACTAATAAGAACAATTGATCCCGACTAAGAGCAAAATACAAATTATATCACAGAACTGCAGAATGCTTGAGATTAATGAAATTGAATAGATTAATACATCCATTATATTCTGGGGGAGCAGAGATCGTGCAAGGCCAGGCACGACGTCAAGAAGGCTAAAAATCTTGCAACCAGGCTCAAGCAAGTCTAATTAATGGTGTTTTAAAATTAAAATTACTACTGTATAATTTTAATCTCCTATGTAAATATAAATATAATAAGAAATGGAGTTTTCCTCTTCTTTTCTTCAAGTTCGTAAGCAGCTATTTGGTTGTTGTAGACCCGAAGCCTTTCCTCCAGCATTAACACATAAAGCTTCAGCTGGATGATCTTTAAAATTAAGATTCACGTCTTGTAGCGTTATCTCATTACATGGATTTGTTTTGCTGCAATCGAATTTTACTGCAACTTCTGTGGCCGATGTCCCATGTATGTCGTGGTACTTTATATCGCTGACCTTAATACCAGAGCCCTGAAAATGTTTAACAAGAAATGAAATGAAATTGTAAGTACTTTATAAAGGATTTAAGTTATATATTCTGATGGGATTAAAATTTTAATTACTTAATATGTAATAGCATATTAGTTACTATTTTTATAAGATTATTTAGTGCTTATCAAAAAATTTACATATAATTACCTAATAAGATAAGTGGTCTGATTGTATACGCCGTCAGAGTATAGAAGTTAAACTCTTTTATATAACATTGATAAATGAGGTAAAATATTATGCATTGACATCGTAAGAAAATTTACACAATTAGGTCACTTATAAAGTAATTCCAAATAAATATTTACGATAGACATTAATTAATAACATGATAAAAATAATATCTAACCTGCTATTACGGATTAAACTACAATGATAAGACAAAATAGTTCTGCTTTTTGTTTTTTAACTAAGTTACCTGATCAGGACAATTTCCACGATCTGGGCAGTAATTTTGATCTATGATGATGGGATTTTCGACACTATTCATCACCGCGTGTTGAAAAAGAACATCCCTCACGAAGCCATTGCTAGGCCTAGCCCATGTTTTGACCCTCACTCCGTTCTGGGTTCTAGTAAATGTTGCCGTTTTAACTGTCACGTTTTGAACTCCTGGCTCTTGCATATCCCAACCTAAGCTCCCAATGCTGCACCAATCCACAATTATTAGAATATTTAATAGACGCAATTTATTATAATAAGTCGATCAATTTATGTACTTTGTAAGTGCACAATATACTATAATTATCAAATATAAATATGTTTGGTATGACAGAAGCCATATTACAAAAAGTATTTTTGGAAAAATATTTTACTATAAAAGGTTTTGGATGTGTGGTTGGAGAGTGAGAAATATTTTCCGAGAAAAACTTCTATCAAAGACAAGATAATAATATTAGCAAACTAAATGGTGTTTTGATGAAACTAATGAGTATTAAAAATAGATAATAACCTCTAATTATTGGTTAAAGTAGTGAATGAAGTTAAGAGTTGATATAATTGTGAGGAAAAATGAATTTCTTCCAAAAATAAGAAAAGTAATTTTCACGAAAAAGGGGAAAAAGTTGTCCGTGGTAATCAAAAACTATTTACAAGAAAATAATTCCCGTCATACGTACCAAAACACACCTAAAATATATTTAATTTCTAGCTAGCTAGTGATATTATACTAAAAATAGTTTTTTTTTTAGACCTTATTCCGTGGCCGGGGCCGCAGGCAATGTTTTCGATCCACAAGTTGGAGTTGCCAGGACCAATTGAGATACAATCATCGCCAGTTCCAATATGAGAATTCAAGATGGTAACATCAGTCGATGACTGTAAATGAATTCCATCAGTGTTGGGACTATTTCCGGGAGCTGAAATCTTCAATCCTTGTAACTTCGCCTTATGGCACCCATCGAACAAAATGTGGAACATTTGGCTGTCTTGTGAAGTTAATCCACTTATTCCAATGTTGTTTGAGTTGTAGAAAGCTAAAGTCTGCACAAAATATTTTTTTATAGTACGAAGATATGTTAATCAAGAAAAAGAACTAGTAGTATGAAGTATAAAAAGGATATCTATGATTGATTTTACAGAATCAGTATTATCTCTTGCCTTTTAATAAAGGAGTTACTGCGAAAACAATGATTTTGTTATCTAGAAAAAGATTTATTCGAGAATAGTTTAGACTCTAAGTTAAACCACACAAAAATAATTTTAAGTGATAAAGACATTTTCTATTCTAGCAAAGATTCTTCCCAGCACTTTCCATTATAACAAAGATTCCGGTACGGTTTTACTACTGGATAAGAGAAGAGCGGGAAGAGAAAAATCAATATATTCCCCGTAAAATGCATGTTTTGAACGAATTCAGTGGTTCAAAGTGAGTGATTCTTTTATAAATAAATATTTTAATTTTTTTCTTATATATGTATACGTAATTCAAATTGAAAGTATTATTCATTTGAACACAGAATCTTTTGTTTGTGTTTGTATGTATATTTTGCTGTACTTGGAAAGGAGAAGTAGACATACCGTAGCTCCTTTAGGACAACCTTTGCCGGAGTTTTTGCATGCCCAAAGACGGGCACCTTGTCCATTTAGGGTTCCACCAATGATCGAAACTCCAGTGACTCGTTCGAATTTAATCCAGCTTCCAGATTTCCCAATAACATTATAGTCAGAGGGAGCTATAAGTGTGCCATCAATACGTATAGTAATGGCATTACTCTTGCATGTTTGACCATAGAAATATGCATTACCAAGCAAGTAACTTCCCTTTGGCACGAAAATGGTGGCAGGGCTAGTAGAAGTACATGCTGCAGTCCATGCACTAAGAAAAGCCTTCGACGAATCGGATTTTCCATCAGACTTTGCTCCGTAGTTTAGGACATTATACATGGAATCTGCTGCTATTGACAAGTTGAAGAAGAAGAGGATGATAATTATGACAAATGGGGAAAGAAAAAAGACGCTCATTTTTCTCATCATGTTGAATTTGAGACAAATAGTGAGAGGCTTGAGTTTGGTATGTGGTGAGGAAATGTAGAATTTGAAAAGGATATTTATAAGAGGGCGAGGGGGGGAGGGGGGAAGGAGTGTGAAGAAGAGCTAATTAAGCCGAAACTGCGTCAATAGTACTGTTTTTTTCCATTTGGACGTTTTTTTCCATTTGGACGTTTTTTTCTTTTACAACTATCAAACAAAAGCTAGTATTAACTTTGGTAGCGTATCTTTTTCCTACTTTTTTCTAATCTTTCCCTTTTTCATCATCATGGGTGGGTAGTGGGGTTGAATGTGAATGGTAGTAAGGTATTCCCTCCTTTTCAATTTAGATGTGGTAGTTTGATTCGACACGGAATTTAAGAAAAAATAATAAGACTTTTGAAACTTGTGATCTTAAAAGCGGGTAAAACCTTTGTGGGGCCATGACATTTGTGTGGTTATAAAAGCTTCTCATTAAGGGTAAAATGGGTAAAATGAAGAGTTTAAAGTTGAATTATTTTCAAATTTTAAAATGTATCATTTATTTTGGAACAGATTAAAATGGAAAGTAACTCGTTTAATTTGAAACGGTGGAAGTAATTTTTTGTTACAAAATCATTTCCTTTCTTTTCTTTTTTGGAATAAAATTATCTTTATTTAGTTATTGGAGAATGAGGAACTTTAAAACGTAGCACTAGAATGCAATATTATATGCAATCACATGGGAAAGATTTTGCCAATTGCTATTTGCTAGCTGACTCCATATTTTAAGGGGATATCCGGCAGAAAAAGGTTCTCAAATACATGGCCATTAATTTTGGGATCCGTATCCTAATTACCCTTGAATAAATTAAAGCATTTAAAGACAATCTAAAAAAATAGAAGAAGCTATCGAAAATTAAAGTACCGAGAGATTGAAAATAAATCGAAAACTACACGAGGTAAGCATTTAAGAGATCAAATCGAATTAAACACAGAAAATTATTTATAGTGCCGCCCCAGCTAAAGTGGCAAAGCTAAGGTCTTAGATTCAGTTATACCTCATCAATATGACACCTAAGTTTAATAAAAACTAATAACTGCGCTCAATGTTAGCATCAAATCTATAATATATATATATATATATATATATATATCATACACATTTTTATCAATTAACAACGATTATGTATTTTTGTTGTGTTTTTTCCGCCCGATATACAATATCTGAATTGGCTTGACAAATCCTAATTCACATTGCATATGGCCCATTAAAGGAGAGATTGCTTTTTACTAGGATTTGCTTTTTTTATTTTTAGGGCTCGAACCCCAAATATTTGTGGATAACATCCACCGGATCTAATGTTACGAACGGAAAAGAGAATTAAAAAGATTACATAAGCAAAAATAATATTAATATGTTTGATTTTCTTGAGGTTTTGAGAGTGTCCAAATAATTTCTGTATTCCCCATTTGTATTTGGTCAACAGCCAATCAGATGACAACACTTGATATGTCCAAGCAGACATGCTCCTTGTCGAACATTTTTCTGATGCACATGCTTGAGGCTTTCTTGATTTATAAGTTGTGAGTTTCTGTTATTTGTTCAAGTTCTTTTGCAAGTGGATGGAATTTTTTCAATTCGAAAAGATTGTTTCCCTCATCTTTTAATTTGCTTTTAGAGCTGGACAATCAATTTATTCTAGGGAAGCCAACATCATAGCATACTAACAACTTGTTCCTATAATACTCTAGCCTACATAAGAACCTATAAACAACTTTTATATAAAACCTTATATTATTTGAAGTACTTAGAAGTACGTAACACGTTATATCCATGAGAATAAAGCCAAGACTCAAACTCAACTTTTTATGTAGGAACTAGAATATTTTATACAAATGTTTGAAAATTTGGCTTCATGCCACTACAGAGAAGAATGGATACTCATATGTCTATGTTCTCTTACTATTGCAGAATCTTTTTTTTTTCTTTTAATAAACAAGCATTGTGCCTAATTTAAGCCTTCCATTACGCAGGGAATGATGACAATATCACGAAGAAATTAAAAGCTTATACTATTAAAAGTTTGATTTGGTTACTAAAGGGATTTCCTAACCGTTTGAACTTAATTAACATGACTCTCTTACTCGATAAACTGTTACTTTACGTCATTCGGACCTTACTAATCAATCAACGAACTTCTGTTTAATTTCTATATGATTTATGTATCATTCAAGTGGTAGCAGAGTTGATATATTAGTGCTTATAAGTACTTTTGAAGGAAAAAAGAAGCGGACTTTTTGAAGTTAATTAAGAGTAGAGTATATCTTAGTTTCTATCCCCCTTCCCTCCCCCAGCCCTTAAAAATAAAATTAATAAGGAAAAAATGGTAGTTGCTAAGTGTTACCATATCTTTATATGGTTTTTGGAAAAATTATTCAATAATATCTATGATCAATCTCTCAACTAATCCGTGAAACATTTTATAACGACTCGGCCGCTCGTTTGTGTATTTGAGCCACGTTTTCCTATTTGACACTTTTCGTATGCTTGGTTATTGTTTCGTGGCTTGCGTGGATGGTTAGTTGATTTGGGAAGATTTAGAAGTGAATCGGAACACTTAGTTCCCTTGTTGGAAGCTTAAGTTGTAAGAGTTGACCAAGATTTGCCTTTTGTGTAAATGACCTCGAATCGGAGTTGACCAAGATTTGACTTTTGTGTAAATGACATAGAAGCTCGGATTATAGCGATTTTTGAGGCAATTTTCACCCACGTGGATTGAATAAATGTTCTTAACTCGGATTTGATTATTATTCATGATTTTATCTTCAATATTGGCATTTGATTGGTGAATCTGAGGAAGGAAACTGGGGTTTTGCAAGAATTTTTGGAAAGTGAATAAATAAAATTTGAATCCCGATTCGGAGCAGGATTTGGATGAAACTTGTATAGTTGGACTCGTATTCGAATGGATAGTCGAGATTTGAGTTTTTTCGGGTTCCGGGAAGCGGGCACGGATTGACTTTCTGGTCGACTTTGTGTAATTGATTAAAGATTGAGCCTTTATACTTCGTAATTATTTCCTTTAGCATTATTTAAAATCGTGGTGTATTATTTGACTAGATTTGACTCGTTCGTAGGCCGATTTGAGAGGCAAGGAATTCTTGGAGTATTTATTCTTGCTCGTTCGAGGTAAGTATCTTCCCTAGGCTTGGTTTGAGGATATTTTTCCCGATGGCTATGCTCTTTGGTATACGTTGGAGGTGGCGCACGTGTGAGGTGATGATGGTATATGCATGCACCATTGTTATTCATGATCCAGGTTGACTTTAGGCTATTATATGGCTTATTTTTCTATCATGCTTCTTTGATACCGTATTTTCTCCACTTATATGACAATGTGAGATATTATTCGTGCGAGAAATCATGTCTAGGCTATGTGCTTACCTGATATAAGATATGATAGGGTTATTTTTGCTATGTTGAGCTATATTCCTTAATTGTAGTCATATTTTCAGTCATGATATGATATCTACGTGTTATAATCTATGTCTCTGTGCAGCTTTTTATATGTTATCTCACATGTTATTAGTAGGGAAGGATAATTATTCAGCGCACTAAAATCTAGTGATTGAGGTTCCATATTCATAAAAATTCAGGTTTGAAATGATCCATGTTAGTCCTTGTGTGTGATACGAGTTTGAGCTCATTGTAGCACGTTAATACATTCCGTGTGGTATTCCGATTATTGGTACTGTGAGATATTGGCATATTGAGACTCAATGGGATTGATAACTGATCTTGGGTCATAGAGCCATGTTGATATTGGTATTAAGGTGATGTTTGCATCAAAGCCCATATTGGGCTGAGTTATATTGATCGTTGACTTTGATCCGATCAGCACCTAGGCTAGGACTTGCCCCTCTATAGTCAGGTAATAACATGTGAGTACAGGCACATGAGATGTGCTTAGTGAGGGACTTATGTCAGGAACCCATACAGTACTGAGTGTATGTGTGTGTGATGATCCAAGGGTATTGTGCTAGGCACCGTGAGAGTGGTGAGAGTATGATTGAGGTGTACTTGTACCAAGCACTATGAATATGCTGAGATTTTGTATACTTGATGATTAAACTGTCATGTTGTTGACTTGGCATGTATACTTATCACATAGGCATAAAGATGTATTTTCCTCCTGCTAATTGATATGCGATATATCTATTTAACGTTTTAAGCTTGAAATCGCAATTTACTTTGATAAATCTTTGTTTAGGTGATTTTCGTGGAAAGTTGATGCCTTGACTAATATACTTGAAAATCATGTTTATTTCTCCTCTTATTGTGATAGAGTTGAACCTGATGTTATTTGAGCTTCTTTTCCTTTTGCCATTATTATGCTGTTATTGTTGTTGTTAGCTATTAAAAGTGAGTATTGGACCTTACCAAGCTCGTCTCTACTTCCAGGCCGAGGTTAGGCTTGCTACTTATTGAGTACATAGGGTCGGTTGTACTCATACTACATTCTACACTTCATGTGCAGTTCTTGGCGTGACTGATCATAGTGGTTGTAAGTTAGCTGCATCCGTATTTGTTGGAGATTTCGAGGTAGCCCTGCTATTCTATTTGCATGCCTTGAAGTCCCCTATTTTATATCATGTTATTACTCTTCAGTCTTCCAGACAATATTATAATTTGTTCAGACTTTGTATTTAATACTCCATAGAGCTCATGTACTTGGAGACACTAGAGTTAGGGGTGATTTCAGTTGTATCATCATTTGACTTCAGTTATTTATGTTATTCGGCTATTTGAGATTATTTCTTACTGTTGTTGAAGTTTAGTTATTCATATTTATTCTTGTCTTGCATAGCAAGCAGTGTTAGGCGCCATCACGAATCTGGTGGGATTTGGATTGTGACAAGTTGGTATCAGAGCACTAGGTTACATAGGTCTCACGAGTCATGAGCAAGTCTATTAGAGTTTTGAGGATCGATATGGAGACATCTGTACTTGTCTTCGAGGCTATAGGGTTGTTAGGATAACTTCTCTTTCTTGCA